AAATCAAAGGTAGCAAATATTTAGGAAGTTAGCACTACCATCGTGTAACTTCACCTTCATCTAAGTGATATTCTCAAAACATGAGAAATACTTTCTCACCTTAAACATTCCCACCTCCAAAGTATTGTAGCAGCAGAGAAGAAATCATATAAACATGTAGATTGCCTTAAATTCCTGATTTTATTTAAACACCAGTTTTCTATTCAGATACAACTTCTTAAATTATATTAGTTTTCCTAAAATATCTCAAAAGGATAGCATCCTCATCTATTTACATGTTTTCTTTGGTGTATCATGGAAATTAATTGAAGGCTTTTAAGATTTGATGATTGCATTATAAATGAAAAAAAAAAAGCCCTACAATTTTTGTTTATAAAAAAGAAATTGAATGGAAAGTTTCCCTATTAAAAATTTGATTCATTGGTGAGGTGATTATTTATTTCTTCTTTTGCCACAGTTTTAAGTCTTATATACTTAAGTAATGATTCCCTTAAAAAATAATTTTAAAACATTCCATTAAGTAACCAGGGCTCCATTTATGTTTTTTCCCCCAAGTTACCCCATTAGCAATATTTTTCTAAAAGATCGATTCCTTTTTGTTCAGAAGTAATGGCCTCTTTCAAGCCCAGGCAGACAGAAAGGCTCTGAAGTCAGTGTTGTGGAAACCTGGCCACAGTGTCCACACCAGTGGGGGTCATTTTTTCATCATTCACATTCAACTAGAATGTCTCTACGTGTGTGAATATGTAGATCCAGCTCAGAAAGGGGGCAGTCTAGGCATGGGTGCAGGATTGCTTATTTTTGATGGAGAGATCATTACATCCTTTCCTATGCCAAAAACAAAAACCAAAAAACTGTTTAGCACCACAGTTTCAAATATGAAGGAGAAGAAGATATAAAATGCAGTCAAACAGGAATTGAACACGTTTTGAGCTTAAGTAAAGGGTGTATGGGCATGTGAGAGGAGCTATAAGGGGAATCTTCATTTCTGAAAGAGTATACTTTCCTCCTCAGAAACTTGTTTTATGTCTATGCCTTTTGTTTTAATGCAATTTGGCAAGGAGAGAATGACATTTTCCAAGAACTTAATGAGATTTAAGGCTTTCTGTTAAACCCACATTATTACCACTATTGTATGAATGGCAAATGTGAGTTTGCATATCAGACAGAACAGAGGAAGCAGATTCACAAATGTAAAACAGGTAAAATAAACAAATTAATCTTCCTTCGTCTCACACCAATTTAGAATTTATTTTCTTTTTCTGGGTTAAAATGTGAAAGTTAGTTCATATTCTGAGAGCCTGATTTGGTGAAATATATATATACTGCAGATACAAGAAAAAAGGCAGTTATTTTATCTCTGGTTATCATAATGATCATCACCTTGGACACACTGTGGTCTGACCTGACTTGGAACAACTAGTTTTTAAATCCCCATTCAGCAGATTCGTTGTCTAGACTCACCAGTATTCCTGGAATATGAGAAATGCTTGACTATTGGTAACATTTTAAGCAGGTTCTCACTTGTTATTTCTAAAATGGCTTTTAATTAGTTTCTAATGCAATTAAACAAAAGTAATTGTTTTCTAAACTTAAATTAACTACATTATTTCATATGTTGAATAATTTTCAAGCATAGAAAACATTTACAGCAGGTACTTTTAAAAGTAACATTGTAATTATAGTTTCAACAGCTTGATTTTCTAGTTTCACACACTGAGAAAGCAACAGTTTTCAAGAAAATATACTATTGAAATTTAACAATAATGAACAAAGCCCTAAGGGCATCACAATAAAACCTCACATTAAACAATAAATCATTTAAACTTTCCACTGTGGCACTTTGTAATATTCACTAGAGACTGCTTTATCCATCTGCTAACTGCTATTTTTGTTTCAAATTGCCTAAATAATAAATTCCATGTATCTATAATTTTTTTTTAATTTCTTCTGTTAATACAATCTATGACAGCATTGGTATCTAGTGGCAAACTAAAAGAAACTGAATTTTCAAAGAGAACCAGAAACACAAATTGTGGACTTGTTTAACATGCACTTTCAGTAGAGTGTTTGAATTCTGGAACAGATGCTATCCTTGTTGGATGCTAGGTAATAACTGAGGGAGAAGCAAATTGCTACTTTAGTCCTTAATTTCAGGGTCAAATATTTCCATGATACCCAAATGTTTCCTCCATGTACAAAAAGCACCTATGTGACCCTGAATAACCTGAGTGGGTGACCGTGCATAACCCACCTCCCCCAAACCCTTAAAATTTTTTATTCATATTAAATAATGAACAAAGCAGTAATCAATAAAATGACTGGTCTCATTAGTCAAGCCTAAAGTCTTCTTTCAGAAATGAAAATCACCCTTACTGAAAATTGACATGTTCATGTTTAGTTCTAAAGAGAAATGTCCCATCAGGTTTTGATATGTTCTTAATTGTCATTACAAGGAGATAAATTGAAGTAATGTCCTTTACCTTCCAAATTCAGATTGAGATAATGTCCTTTCAATTCAAAATACTGATTTCAAGTTCAGTGTGCTAAAGGAAAATTACAATAATATTCTCCTAAAAAACTAATTATGATTTGAGCTTCTATGCCATCTTTTGGGCAAAAACACCTGAGTGCCTCAAGTTTCAAGATCACCAAGTAGTCCTCAAATACACCCCTAAAGAGTAAGGTGATGGTGTTCACATTCTGCATTTGGGAAACTTTATACTTGCAAGAAGAATCAAACAGGGCACTGAGCAAATCAAAAGAAAAGCTTTTAAAGCAAAGTCTTTTCAACTCTTTAAATTGTAGATTGTGTGACTTTGTAAAATCATGTCCAGAAATGTCTAAAAAGTTACCATGGCATTTATGTAAAAAATCCTTGTTAGGTATTTGCTTACCTCTTGGACATGTACTTGTTTTCTTCTTTTTAAACATGTTATCAATTTATGCCTAAGTTTTAAAAGTGAATTTTAAAAGATTGGCCAGAACTTAAAGGCCATCAAAGAGGCTTACTGCCTCTTGAATGAAGCTTTGCTTCTGTGCTTAATTCAAAGTGACACTAAAAATCAGTTAACAGTAGAAATTATTTGTTTGATGACAATTTCACCTTTGGCACCAACTTTAAATAAAGTATGGTAAAATGAGAAGCATAAAAAAACAAGGAGGTCAACTTATCCCTTTCCACCATCTACTTATGATGAAAGATGTATTGCTTAAAGAAAGAATTGAAGTTAAATCTCTAGAAAATTTCTCTACTATATTAAAGTTCATTATTAATAGTTCATTAAAACCTTTTACTTTCGCAGGAAATTCTCAGTCCCAGTATATTTTAAGGAAGAGAAATTTAGTATGCTTCCTTTTCTTTCCGTGAAGAATATCTGAATTAACTTTCCTTTACCTCTTAAAAAAGAATACCTTTTCTTGTATAATGTGACTGCACCAGAAATTCTGAGAAAGCAGCAAGAAGCAAAAGCTGGAAATAGCTATTTCACAGCAGGTAATCATACCTCAGGATCTAGCCACTGTATAATGTTTATACTTGGATAATCCTGAATGTGAATAAAGGTAGGGGGGTAACTGTGAAAAAACAATTACTATATAGGTCTTAGCATCATGAATGGCTTTCTTCATGAGGATCTGAAGTTACTGTCTCTGACCACATTGCACAGAAGAGCCAATAAGAATTTCAAGGAGGGTAACTTCCACTAAGGGAATTAAGCTACACAAAAGGATCCTTCACATAGAAACTCTATCAGAAAGAAAAAAAAAAAAAAAGCATAGGAAGCCATGTGTCCTACATAGTAACAGGAAGCTGAATTGTTTCTGGCCCCCACTTTAATGAGCTTGCCCACCATGCTGAACCACAGCTGGAATGTTCATTGACAACAGCAAGCCTGATATTGGAGGTGTGTGTGGCATAAGATTACTTGAATAAACAGTGAAGAACATTTCCAAGGACTAAACCAGAGTCCCAGCCCCTCACCAGGAAAATAATATATGTGTATTGAATTTTCACCCATGTAAAATGTACTCACAACATTCAATAAGGTAGGAAAAATATTAAAGCATTTTATGTTCATGCCTAAAATTATAAAGGTGAATTAACACCTAAAAGGGCAGAAGAGATTATATTTCACAACAGATTGATATAAATCTAATTCTCCAGCCATGGGTAAAGTTGAATCATCTTGTAAGTTAGAATTTGAAGAAAGAAAACATGTGAAAACATGTTATGAGATAGAAAATAATGAAAAATGTGGAAAAAGTCACTAAACCCTATTGTATGAAACATAACAAAATGAGAACAGAAGAAATAGATTAACATGAAATGGAATTTTCCACTTAGACTAGCTAGATGTATTCATTATATAATTCCTGCCCTAAATTAGATGAAAGATTCCTTCTGATTTCCTTGCTAGAATACCTTTTAAACAGTGTTTAATATTAATAATCAAAGAAAAAGAAATAACATTAATAATCAAAGCAAAAAATTAGCTTTACTGAGGTTGAGATCTCAAGATGTAACTGTTCTTGAATAGTAAGAGAATAGATTTTTCCATTATATATTTCTCTACCTATATAATCCTTCACCTAATAAAAAATAGGCATAAAATATTGTTATTTAAGAACAGTACAATGATTATCTTAAAATATAACAAATCATATATCAGTCAATGACTGGCTATAAAATTGATATCAAGTATAATTAAAACACTTTAGATTATTCAATAAAACTTTAATTCTATTTAATATTTCAAAATCAAATGTATTTAGGACATGATACTTTTTATTTGTATACCAGAAACATTTAAGGTAAAGAGATTATATGATTGTGTTCATTGATAGCTAGCAATAAACCCTAAGTATGTCCCTCCATTCCCCCAAAATTAATATTTTAAAAGTGATTGTAGATGTTTTAGTTTCCATATCTGTTTTTTTAAAGACTATTTTCAGTATGCTCTCTGATTGTTTTCTGTCTTTTTTTACTCACTCCATTTTAGGGCTCTGAAGTAACAGAACATACCTTGTGTAAAAACCTCAACATTGCTGACCATGATCAGCCCAGCCTGGAGCATCTTTCTCATTGGGACTAAAATTGGGCTTTTCCTTCAAGTGGCACCTCTATCAGTTATGGCTAAATCCTGTCCATCTGTGTGTCGCTGTGATGCAGGTTTCATTTACTGTAACGATCGCTTTCTGACATCCATTCCAACAGGAATACCAGAGGATGCTACAACTCTCTACCTTCAGAACAACCAAATAAATAATGCTGGGATTCCTTCAGATCTGAAAAACTTGCTGAAGGTAGAAAGGATATACTTATACCACAACAGTTTAGATGAATTTCCTACCAACCTTCCAAAGTATGTAAAAGAGTTACATTTGCAGGAAAATAACATAAGGACTATCACTTATGATTCGCTTTCAAAAATTCCATATCTGGAAGAATTACATTTAGATGATAACTCTGTCTCTGCTGTTAGCATTGAAGAGGGAGCATTCCGAGACAGCAACTATCTCCGACTACTTTTCCTGTCCCGTAACCACCTTAGCACAATTCCCTGGGGTTTGCCCAGGACTATAGAGGAACTACGCTTGGATGATAATCGCATATCCACTATTTCATCACCATCTCTTCAAGGTCTCACTAGCCTGAAACGCTTGGTTTTAGATGGAAACCTGCTGAACAACCATGGCTTAGGTGACAAAGTTTTCTTCAACCTAGTTAACTTAACAGAACTGTCACTGGTGCGGAATTCCCTGACTGCTGCACCAGTAAACCTCCCAGGCACAAACCTGAGGAAGCTTTATCTTCAAGATAACCACATCAATCGGGTGCCCCCAAATGCTTTTTCTTATCTAAGGCAGCTGTATCGACTTGATATGTCCAATAACAACCTAAGTAATTTACCTCAGGGTATCTTTGATGATTTGGACAATATAACCCAACTGATTCTTCGCAACAATCCCTGGTATTGTGGGTGCAAGATGAAATGGGTACGGGACTGGTTACAGTCACTACCTGTGAAGGTCAATGTGCGTGGGCTTATGTGCCAAGCCCCAGAAAAAGTTCGTGGGATGGCTATCAAGGACCTCAATGCAGAACTGTTTGATTGTAAGGACAGTGGGATTGTGAGCACCATACAGATAACCACTGTAATACCCAACACAGTGTATCCTGCTCAAGGACAGTGGCCAGCTCCAGTAACCAAACAACCAGATATTAAGAACCCCAAATTCTCTAAGGATCAGCGAACTACAGGGAGTCCCTCAAGGAAAACAATTACAATTACTGTGAAGTCTGTCACCTCTGACACAATTCATATCTCTTGGAAACTTGCTCTACCTATGACTGCTTTAAGACTCAGCTGGCTTAAACTGGGCCATAGCCCAGCATTTGGATCTATAACAGAAACAATCGTAACAGGGGAACGCAGTGAATACTTGGTCACAGCCCTGGAGCCTGATTCTCCATATAGAATATGCATGGTTCCCATGGAAACCAGTAACCTCTATCTATTTGATGAAACTCCTGTTTGTATTGAGACCGAAACTGCACCCCTTCAAATGTACAACCCTACCACCACCCTCAATAGAGAGCAAGAGAAAGAACCTTACAAAAACCCCAGTTTACCTTTGGCTGCCATCATTGGTGGGGCTGTGGCCCTGGTGACCATTGCCCTTCTTGCTTTAGTGTGTTGGTATGTTCATAGGAATGGATCGCTCTTCTCAAGGAACTGTGCATACAGCAAAGGTAGGAGAAGAAAGGATGACTATGCAGAAGCTGGCACTAAGAAGGACAACTCTATCCTGGAAATCAGGGAGACTTCTTTTCAGATGTTACCAATAAGCAATGAACCCATTTCAAAGGAGGAGTTCGTAATACACACCATATTTCCTCCTAATGGAATGAATCTGTATAAAAACAATCACAGTGAAAGCAGTAGTAACCGAAGCTACAGAGACAGTGGTATTCCAGACTCAGATCACTCACACTCATGATGCTGGAGGACTAGCAGCAGACTGTGTTTTGGGTTTTTTTAAACCTAAGGGAGGTGATGGTAGGAACCCTGTTCTACTGCAAAACACTGGAAAAAGAGACTGAAATAAGCAATGTACTGTACATTTGCCATATAATTTATATTTAAGAACTTTTTATTAAAAGTTTCAGATTTCAGGTTACTGCTGCGATTGATGTAGTGGAGATGCCTGAACACAATTCTATATTTTAGTATTTTTTAGTAATTTGTACTGTATTTTCCTTGCAAATGTTGAAGTTATAAACCATTTACTTTGTGTTCTACTGAGTAAGATGACTTGTTGACTGTGAAAGTGAATTTTCTTGCTGTGTTGAACAATCAGGACTGCATTGACATGAGATCCTTGTAGTATAAGCACAGGCCGTTTTTCACTTTGGTATTAAAAAAATGTAAAAAAAAAAATAAAAAACTGGCTGAGTGGCTGAATGAGAAAAATTAAATTTCAAAAAGCAGTTATGAAATAATGTTCCTATTATTAAATTTGTATTAGCCCAGTGGTATTCAATAAATTGAAATGTGTGAAGTAATGGGCAATATCAAATTTGCTGCATATCTCCACTTTACTCTAGATGAATTACATATCCTTAAGAAAATTAAGCATATCTTCTGAACTGAATACTTCAGCTGGCATAAAAGGAGTGTGAAGTCTTTTGTTAACCCATTGTCAACAAAGCTTTGAGAATAAAGGACTTCACAAAAACAATAACGTAAATGTGCTTCCAAGTTAGGGGGGAAATGCATACTGAGGAAAATATGAAATCTTAGACTTGTATAGTGTTATGAATACAAATACCAAAACCATATTTGAGTGTTGCCTTTACCATCCTAATTTTTGAAAAGTGAATTCTAAACACAAAACTGTTAGTGTTGATGATGTTTTTGTCATAAAGGATGTGAAAGAGAAATCTTGTGCATTTTAAAAAGGTAGCATAACTGTAGGCAATTCCCCTCAACAATCCAAAGAAAGTAGCACTTTAAATATGTGAGAATTTAAAAGAAAAATAAATACTAGAAATCAAGTTTAGATCTGGTTTATGTGAAATGTTTTAACACTGTACATAAATGTTCAGTTTACTTTCAAAATGATCAAGAATACTGCCCATTACTGTCACAGTTTTCCAGATACTACATAATGAACTTGTAACATTTCTTTCTAGCTTCCTACTGAATTGTGAACTATTACTTGTTTAAAAACCATATCACTTTTCTGTTGCCATATTTTTTTTTTTTCAACAAAAAACCAAAGTGCATTGTACGCCCTTTGGCCAGTCTTGTATGTGCCTTGATCCAACGCTACTACATGTATTCAGCTTTTAAAACTTGACAAATTTTTCATACTTCCTTAAATATGAAAAATTATGGTCTTATTGCTGAATAAAACTTTTAAAAAGTACAGAATAATTGTGCTTGCTTTTTCGGGATTATGTTACTGTCACTAAAGTAGAAAATTGCCCAGCACATTAGTCTTAACATTCCATGTATTTTTCTAGGCATAAAAATAAAAGTTGGCTACAAATTTTAAAAAATAGCTATATCTTGAGATTGTGTATCATTTTACTTTGAAGCGTTCAGTATTTCGCGTATAAATTCATTTCCTCTTATTTTATTTAATTCACTGTATATAAAAAAACTTCAGAAATGGTTTCAGGGCCTTTTTCCTCTTAGGTGCACAACTGCCATTGTCCTGATACTTTGTAAGGTGTTCTTTGAAAAACTAATGGTTTTTTGTTTTGTTTGTTTCATTTTGTTTTGTTTTGTTTTCTAAATAGCCTTTTGGTAGAGTGTGTTGGCATCAACGGACTTGAAGTCTTAGATTTATCACTTAGTAGGTATGTACTTAAAAACTAACCATTACCCTCATAGCTCAGTTTCCATATCTGTAAAATGGGGTTATTAATAACAGCCACCTCATAGGGTTGTTGTGAGGATTAAATGAGAAGATGTGCATGGGAACTGTATGGTGTTCTACAAAATACAAGGTACTACTATTACGGTCAAGAAAAGTTCATCATGTGCTACCAGAGGTTTGCTACATATTGCTGCTTCTACTACTATACTCACAAAGAGACAGTGACTATTAAATCTTATTCATTATGCATTCGCCATCTTCAAAATGTTTCCCAACACTTTCTCTTTTGACTTCCTGTTTTCTAGGAATAACTGTTAAGACAAATGTGATTAACATTAAATATGGGGAACATTTTCTGAAGGAAGTTTGACTTTGCTTCTAAAGGTTTTGAGTAGTTCAGCTACAGTTCTTTTAGAATTCAAGGAGAGACCTGGATGGTTCCATAAAGTCCCTATGAACCTGTAGCTTATAAAAAGCCAAAAATCAAGAGATTATATTGACTGTTTTCCAGTTCGTATACCTTTCATGAGCAGAGGAAATTTTCTGTACATTCTAATATTTTGATTATTTTACCAGGAACAAATCAGAAACATGTTTTACACCAGCAAATACACAGTACACCAAGAGGGTAAAAGTTTATTCTTTACCTATTCTTGCTATGAAATCCAAAAGCTTTGCAAATATATACGCACGTATTTGTGTGTATGCATGTGTTATTTTTTTTTTTTCAATAGAATATCGGGACACTTAGAGGGTAAGTGTGTATGCATGTGTTATTTTTTTTTTTTCAATAGAATATCGGGACACTTAGAGGGCACAAAATAAATTATACACATATCTCTATATGTCCCAAACTAAATGTTCACAATTTTTACCTATAAAACTAAACTCCAAATCAAGTACTAATAAAAAATCATAGGGAAAAAAAATCCAATGCTGAATATATAGAATATAGATTTAGCAAGAATACAATTGGGAAAGCCAGAAAAAAAACTGAGAAAAAAATCACTCCCTTGCTCAATGTTTGACAAAAATTAAAAATTATTTTTAGATGGAGCCACTTGTAACTGCATTAAATCACCACCCATACACTCTCATTCCCTATTAAAAACAATACTGTGCTCTATCTTTCAGCAAGGCTGATTTATTAAAAGTATTCTCCTGTGCCAAAGGAACTAGTAAAAAACTGCTTTACTAACTACAGTTTCTTACTAAAGCACATTTTATAGCTACATGCCAACATGGCAGTTTTCATAAGGAATCCAAAGAGGCCCAAAGAACTCTAAAGCACCTGAAGCATGGGTGTTAAAGGAATCAATGCATCATTGAATTTACTTTAATATTAGCTCATCTGCTGCTGAAAACACTGGTGGCATTTAAAATTCTAATTCCTTTCTCCTACTTAGCATGATTAGCAAATCTTTATTTAGCATAGTCTTGGAACTACAACTACTTTTTGTTTTGGAACTTTTAATTAAATTAGCAAAAAATAACTCATGCTTATTAATCACTTTCTTAAGAATGTCAAAGTTCTCTACAAATAATCTTTTTTAAAAATTTTTTGATTGGTAAGGGGATCGCAACCCTCCGCACGGTGTGGTCTGGACCACGCTCAGCCAGTGAGTGCACCGACCATCCCTATATAGGATCCGAACCCACAGCCTCAGCGCTCCCAGCGTCGCACTCTCCCGAGTGAGCCACGGGGCTGGTCCTGTACAAATAATCTTAACGAGATAATGACCATTACTGAGTGGCTTCTATATTATAAATAGCAGAAATGTGCTTCCTAGAGATTGTAAGGTATAAACATATAATCTAATCAAAGTTTTCTGCTACTGAAGTATAGAGGAAAAAGCAATTACACCTACTTGGATGGATCAGGAAGACCCATGAAGAAGGCAAAATTAGGGCCAGGTGTTGAAGGGTCAGAAGGAGTTTAAAGAGAAAGTAAGAAAATCAGATAGTGGCCAAGGAAAGAAAGTGGTGAACAAAATCACGGAGATAGGAAAATGGGCAATATTTCTCAACCCTAGCTTTGGTCATAATCACTTGGGGAAGTTTTTATTAAAGTAACCAAGCCTCAAGAGAGATCTACTAATTAAAATCCCCCAGGTTAAGGCTGGGTATTTACATTTTTTTAAATTCCAAGGGTGATTCTGATGTGGTTGAAGAGCACTGACATAGGAGGTATTTGGAGAAAGGCCAAGAGTCCAGCGGAAATATAGGGACCGTGAAGTAGGTAAGACTGGAAAGTATTTTACATCAGGCTTTGTAGTATGTTTAATTCCAAGGTGAGAAGTCTGCATGGATATTCTTTGGTAATGTTTTTTGACCAGGTATATAAATAATCAGTACATTTTAGGAACATTCTGTAGAAATAATATTGCATTAAGGATGCATGAGGAGAAACTGGAAGCAAGAAGACAAGTTAGAAGGCTATGCAATATATTTTAGGAAAGAGGAAATAAGAGCCTGAACAGTGCATTGCCAGTGGAATGGGGTTATGAAAAAACAAGCATCAGGAGTGGGGGAAGAAGGAAGGGGGGGGAGAGGAGAAGGAGGAGAAAAAGAAAGGGAAAAGGTCTAATTGAAAAGATACAGCAAAGAGCAAGATATTGAAGATGATGAAGATTTTCAGCACAGGTGAGTACAATTGTTGATGAGACAATTAATAAAGATGGAAAACAATGGAGGAGAAGCAGATTTCAAGGGTATTTTTTACATATTGGGTTTGAATGGGTGACTATATGCATAGTACAGGTTTGCATCTACTAATTACTAACAGTCTCCTCTTTAACCCTCCATAGTGACCCAGTTTAAATAATAAAGTCACCTTAGGTTTAAAGTACTTTTGTGTTATCCCTATGGAAATGTCAACAGGAGGTTAGAAATGAGGTTCTGGGGACAGATCCTCAGCATCAGAGAAGGGAATGCATATCTAAGAGATTATTACAGTTGAGAGGTCAGATGGGATAACCAACAGAAAGTGAGCAGAGAGAGAAAAGGAACACCTATCCCCTGTAAGGTAGAAGAGGGAGAGGAATCCAAAATAAACAACAACAAACAGACAAAAAGGAGGGGTCCCAGAGGAGAAAAAGTAATCATGGTAAGAAAATATTATGAAATCAAGGAACTAGAAGTCTTTAAAAAAGAGGATGTCAAAAATGCATTCAGGATAAAGACATAGAAGATGACCCCAATGAAGATGGAAATAGAGGCGACCCTCAGGGATTGTGAAAGCAGTATCTGCAGAGCAATGAGGCAAATACCTCTAGCGTGTTAACAGAACAATGGAAGACAAAGAACAGGAAAAATGACTAAAACTATTCTTTTAAAAAGTTAAGAAGGTGAAGGAGTGTTGGTGGGTCATGGGGAGGAACAAGATAGATAAAAAGGAAGTGAATACCAGGAGGAAGATGTATTGGTTTGGGGAAGAAGATGGGTGTATAGATAGGAATCTACAAGGAGGACAGGGTGCATATTTAACAGGACAAAAGAAAATTGAGATGAAATTGAGGTAGGGTCCAAGTCATGGCTGTGACTCTAAGACAACTGAAGTAAGGCTATGACTGAGAAACTGCAATTTTGGAAGAGTCACTAGCAAAGAGGACAAAGTCACTAAGTATGAAGGTAAAGTTTGTAAGGCAGGTCCTAAGAGAGATGGGGAAACATTCCAGAGATGAAGAGGATGAAGAAAATGATGGGATTAGGTGAGATGTAGGTATAAAACATGGACTTCAAAATAAAAGTGTTTTGAACAATGGTGATAGAAACATAGTCAGGTCTTTCAAAGTTGGAGAAAAAGTTTTTGAGACTCCCTGCCTGCATACCAGCCCAGCCCCCAAGTTTCATCAAATAGTGGTAGTAAGAGATGGAGCAGAGAACAGGGAAGGTGCCATCTTCAGGGAACACATGTCAATTAATTCAAGGTTCTGGAAAGAATGCTAAGAAAAATATCAATAACATGGGAAATTGGAACCCAAAAGAAAAAGACTGCAATGGGCCCAGGGGAAGCAATTGGAAGATGGGCCAGAAAGAAGGTCATACTTTCAGATGGAAAGGGACATGAAACAGGAAAGCAGAGCAGAGGAGGACAGTGCACCTAGCACTGTAATAGGTGATCACTGTTAAAAAGAATAATGGTCATGAGAGGTCCATGGAAACTGCTCCTCTGAATAATGTAGACATTCTGAACAGATAAAAGAGAAGAACTGCTATGACCAAATTAACCTTGCTGTATTCTTTGAACATCAAAGCAGAAGTAAATCCAACTTTATCTCAAAATACACTCTAAAGAAGTATTTCTACCAATGCAGCCTTTCACCAGTCTTTCCCACTAGTATCAGAGGAATCCAGGGGAGGAGGTAATCAAATCACATCATGTACCCCATCCACTCCCTACATCCCATCTTATTTTTTATATTGGATGGGTAGAATGAGATTAGAAATGAATTTTAAGGGCTGATTTGAAAGTTTTTTTTTTTTTTTCTTTTTTAAGAGGCTTCAAAAGGAAGCATGCAGCCACAGGGGTGTGGAAGTTGGGGATAATGGGATTTTACAGACTGATTGTGTGCACACATAAAAGCAGTGCATGTTTTCAGTGGCAGCTGGCTGGATTGGAAAAAGGACAGTCTAGGCAATTAGTATCCAAAGTAATTACCCTGTTGAATGTACACTGG